ATCTTACTGTAATTTATTGATGATTCGAGGTCAGTGACATAAACGTCCTAAGCTAGACTGGGCCATTTATCTTATTCCACATGTGCCCGACTGGAGAGTTAATCAGATATTTGACCTCTTTGATGTAATTTTGGTTTGGAATTTTTTGCTGTATGCGTATTGTGCACTATGTACCTCCTCCACCTCTTCCTACCCTCCCTTCTTTTCTGATTCGGGACAAGGGAAAAAGGGGGTGGGAGCTGACATTGTTCGGAAACAAAACAGAAACTATTTAAATTGTAAAGCTTCCATTGATTCTAAACCACCAAGGTTATGCTTCTTTAAGTAAGATATGCAGGGATGGAACAATATATCCGTGAAAGGGGTTTAGATCTTGGGAAAAGTAAATATAGGGAGCAAATAGATCATCGTAGTGATCGCAGGAAGAAATACTACTGTGTTTTCTTGTAGTATCTCGTGGCATGGAGTACAAAAAGTATGTTCGATAATACAAATACCATTGAACTGTATGCTCACACTGCGGCGTGCACGTAGTACGGCCTTTGAGGTGTGACTGCTGCACTTGTTGGCCCCCTCCTTACGAACATGCAAGTATGTCGTGCACACTCACATATACAAGACAACGAATTGAAGTCTCCCACCTATTATCCTGTGACCTAACTTAACCTACTTAAACAGATCATACCAAATATGGCAAAAGGATTTTATTACAAGTAATATCTGTGTTAATTGATGAAATGTTTTAGTGTCATTCATGACATTGCATATAGGTCAGTATAACATGGAAGAGCCAAATAAAACTGGGAGTCAAATGTTTAACACTTCAATTTATTGTTAATATTTAATTTTGCTTATCTAGGTGTGATAATGATATTACATTAACCTATGGTCAGTCACATGAACCTTGACCACTGCACCAACTGACCCCTGTGTCTTCAAGTTACAGTCTGTTTCACTGAAGATAATGACCTGTGGCGGCTCATCATCAATCATATTCAACAGAGCAGAGATTCCATTTCACGCTGATCTGATTATGACAGGAGACAAAGGCGACAGGTCTATTGATTGAAAGATTGACAGGACAGAGGGTGGGGAGGGGGGGGCTGACTTCCGACAGAGATCAAACAGTAATCAGACAACTGTGTCTGATGTGCTTGATATACTCATCAAGTAAGGTTAGCCTAAGATGACTAGAAATGCGTCATTATACTTGAAGCACATTGTATGCGTCTTTTTGTGTGTGAATTCAAGCTGATGCACATTAACTGTGCTGCAATGATTTTTGGCCTCAAACACAACTTCTCATGAAATTGTACATAAAGAAGGGCCAAGGACAAAATGGGGTTCAGTGAAAACGTCTACCCACATGTGATATTTTACATAAGAAGACTAACTGCAGTCAATACTAGCATGCTCTAGTAAGAGACCAAACTTTGTTCTCTGACTGGTGGTTTTATTATCTTAATCATAAATGGTACGAATGGTTGATGGATATTACTCCATCCAATAAAAGGAGTGCCTAGAGAGGGATTGGAATATTGCGTACTTCAAATTGAATTGAATAATTAATTTGTCATAAATGTGAGGTCATTTGGTAAAAATTTCTGGTACAGATGCCCCAGTTAGGCCGGAGTGCTGCATTGTGACAGTGAGAAGAAATAGTGGCAGCCCTAGCCTAAGTAGAATTGGTTTTAAAGCTCAGTTTAAAGTTTGATTATTCATCAATAGACAGCCCTTTTGTTGGCTGGAGATTCTAGAGTCTGTTGGTGTATTAGAAAAGGGTCTGAAAGATTTTTTTAAGATGTTGGGAAGATTTTTTGTCATGCCCAGTACACTGCCTTCAGTTTTAATTTTTGATGAGTGAACATGGTTTTGGCTAATGTAGCATACATGTCAGATACACCATTGCCCTGGGGAAGACTTCACATCATGGGAGGATCATTTAAGACCTCTCTTATTTAAACACTCTAAACAATGAAAGCACTTAGCTGGCTCTTAACCTGTTCATAATGCACATGCCCTATTAGCTGCTCCTGCCTTGTCAAAAAGGCTTAACACCTTGAAGAAATAATTTTTTGGTCTTGGAACTTGATGATAAACAGATTCGTTGCATAATGCATTGATCAAGGTTGGATGTAAAGAAAGTAGTGAGATATTTTTTCCTGCCTTACACTGTCTAATAACACTCTGTGTTACTTTTCTCATATTCTTTCAATAGAATTGATATTATCCAATGCAGATCTCTGCAGCAATAACTCATCTTTGGAGCACCTGACGTATGCATCATCATCAGTCACATACATACTAACAGTCTTGAACCCAGCTGTGCAAAACTTTGAAATTATTGCTTCAAGACACCAATGAACATGTCTTTGAAGGAAATTTGATCTTATTAATGGTATATAGGTAATATTTATATACCGTGAGTAATTACCATAAACACTTTCTAAGGCAAAAGATTTCTAGAGCACTTTAGTGCATGACTCCATCACAATTGTAGGCTCTGTATTTTACATGGTTTTTAATATGCGTGGCTCACATAAAAATTGGGTGTTTGTTACTGAAAAATCAATTTCTCAGCAACTCTTTCAAATACACTACTATACAAATTGTTATTTTAAATGTCTTCTTTATAACCTTGGAGGGTCACTAGTTGTTTCACTCATGGACACTTATTAAAAAGAGCATCACAGGGCTTAATGTGTTGCATATGGGCCCAACTCATAATTTCATAGCTTATACAACAACATGTGGACCAATGATTAGTTATTATCCATGTCACAGGGATTTCTTCTAGATATACACTGGCCCCATATATGTATTTTGTATTGCTGTCCAAGAGGTTTACTATTGAAAATGTGATGTATGTCGACATGGGTTTGAAAACAAGTATCCTTTAGAATTCCCAAATAATGTTGGAGACTGTATGCTACTTCATTATAAATGAACGTTTACCTGCTGAATGACTCAGTACACACTAAGGCTGTTTTTGTGCCACAGTGGCTTCCTAGTCAATACGCAAAGTCAACAGAACTTCCCGCCAAAATACATTGATTAAATATTTAACATGCGTGTGAGTAAGCAGGGATTTACGCATTTGTGTAAGGTCATGCAGGCAGCGAGTGCACGTGGACTGCTATCTGATGGCTTGCTCAGGCAAGGAAAAAAATGTGAAAAGATTTCCAGAAGAGGCGCTCGTTTAGAAAATGTCCTTGCGTGGCAGGACACCTTCTGTGGATTTGTTTGTAAAATGGACATTTGAGTGACCAACTGAGATAATTTTTGTGGACATAGAGAGATACGGTTTTGATTTCAAGGTCTTGAAGTGAAAGGTGCTTTTGATCCGCGATATGAGATGGATGTCAAGGACATGGAAAGAAAAAGTTCCACATTTGGATATGTAGCTAACATTTTTGATAAGATTTTACTTTCATGTTGACTTGAACAAGATAACATAGGGCATTAAAGGTGAAAGCAGGTTTATCCCTGCCTGATTAACCCAACAGGTGCTTGTGAAGCCAGAAGTCTTGTGGACAGTGGGGTGATGACAGATGCACATCTAGTTTACCGTTAGTCAAGGTTGACTTTCTCCGATGCACTTATAGTTATACACATGCACCTTTTAGTGATACAAACTTGGCTGTAACTCCAGTGACAGCAGCCATCCATTTTTTACCAGACATGGATCATTTTTAACACTGACCATTGCAACAGCAGGTGCCCTTGAAGTCACTGGGACAGTTATCTTCTTCCTTTTTGTTGGACGAGGACTTAAAGTTTTATACACCAGACTCTGAAATTTTATCTTCCCAACTGTAGCCTTAGATCTACTTAATGGTACCAAATGTGGGATTGCAAAATTTGGATAGATTGGGACTTGTATAGTAGCCAAGTGGACCACCAATGAGCTAGGACTGTACTGCTACCAGAGAAAAGCCAGACATATGTCAGAGACTTGTTAGACTTTGGTAGAAATACCTGATGTTCTGTGGCATGTAAGGCAATGGATCATATAGGCACTATGACACTATGAGACGCATCATACTTGGTGCAGTGATTATCATAGGAAGGAAATAAAAACTAAGAATAACTGGATAAAAACTGATGTCATAAAACACTGAGGACAGATAGCAAAGTGAGGTATTGATACAGACTTGCTTGGATTGTAAATTAAGGTTTACAATGGGACCTATAGCCAATGACCACATACTGCCCAGTGGACAGTCCAGGGAGGGATTGACCACCAGGAGATTGGTGGATTTTTCTGTAGGTGATATTGTGTTGGATCTGTGTGTGTGTGCGTGTGTGTGTGTGTGTAAGACCACTGTTTCAAATTTGTTGTCATTAAATTAGCAAAAGACTAGACTTGCATAGTTTATACCAGCATCAATGACTGCAATGTTTATAATAGGAAATAATAAAAGAGATCTTGAGTGTCATTTTTATCTAAAATGGCAGTTGTCCAGCCCAGTTGTCAGAAATGCAGTGAATACCAGAATAGGTGTTTGTTTCCAAAAAAATGGTGGATTCAGAAGTCAGAGACAGAACAAAACAACCTGTGTATGGCTAATGAGATTGAACTGAGTTTTTAGTTTTGAATGCAGGAGTTTGTTAAGTTGAATACGAACATGTCTAGTAGTCTTAAGTAAATAATAGAATGTTTCTGTGTTGAATATGACTTTAGTGAATGAATGATGTGTTGAAGCCACTGGGAATCATTGAGAGAGAGAGGTGTTGGTTGATGTCTGGCTTAGATATGACAATGTACAGTATGTTATGGACCAAGGCTTTCTGTTGCTGTGTATGTAGTTTGATTTTGAATGGATGTGATTCTTTTGTAGGGTAAACACATGATTTCATTTAAGAGATTGGTAATGGAATAATTTTTTTTCCTTATAATATTTTTTTAAAAAGAATTTCAACATAATTATGATTAATGCCAGACCTGGAAATTATATTATGAAATGAATATGAAAGCAAAAGCAACTTACTCTTTTCAGGTGTATTATGCAAAGAAAAAACGAAGGGCTCAACAGGCTCAAGGTGACGACACAAGTCACAAAAAAGAGCGTCGTCTCTACAACGATGGTTACGATGACGACAACCATGACTATATCGTCAAACCTGGGGAGAAGTGGATGGACAGATATGAAATTGACTCACTTATAGGGAAAGGTTCATTTGGTCAGGTAAGAGTTTATTTATTTATTTATTTATTTATTTATTTATTTATGTCTTATCAATGAAAGCAGTGGTTTTGCTGCCTTGTTTTAACACCTTTTTATCGAAGATGCAGTCAGCAGACGTGATTCTCTGAAACGTCCAAAGCTTCAGTAGAAAATAATTATTATTTGAACAAATAATGAATAATATTATGTAACAGAAATGTTTTGGTGGTTGCTAAAACAGTTCTTTTGTATTATCAACTCTATCCAAACACCATTCAAATCTTATCAGTGATTTTCACAAACAATTTCATAATCCAGAAGAAGTTTATGTATATGATAAAAGAACTTATGCTCTGTGGTATAGATTTTGTAATTAATAATAAATATTTGGGATCTCTTTTAAGTGGGTTTGCCTCATTTACCCTAACAGGAACCTAGTTAGTTGATTAGGCAATATGAATGTCTGTAGGCAGTTCTAGGTATCACCGGGTATGTGATTGAAAGGACAAAAGCCTCTTTCACAAGATATGTTGATGGCATTCTGTGGATTAATATTCAAGATTAACACAACCACTTATTTGTCGAGTTTAGTAACTTATGTTTCTTGCTAACAATGGTATTAATCCCGCCTTGTTTTTCTCTCCAAAGAAAACATGAGTTTATTCATTGAGGAGATTGTTGAAGAATTTGGTTCACTAGATTAATGTGGTCAGAAATGATCTGCAAATTTCAAGTCAGTCTTATCAGCATAATGAACCCCCTTTGTCTGTATCATTCTCATTCTGTATGTATCCATACTGTTCAAAATTTACTCTGATCATGGGATTAAATCCCAGGGCTGTGGTAATTATAGAATTCAGAAAATTAAATCAAGATGAACCAAGTGTTCATTTGCTACTTGTAAACTGTTGTGTTTTTGTACTCAACGCTTGATTTGATACAAAAATACAATGATGTAAGCTCTCCCAGTCAGAGGGCAGTAGCCAGCAGGTACACTAAGAATGTCTAGACTTTTATCTAACTTGTCGTAAAATTGTGTGGTTCACAAAATAAACATGCCACTTTGGTGCATTTGTTGATGCTGCAGAAATTGGCGGGAAATTGAGCGTGGGGTGTGGAGGGGGAGTCGCCCCAGTAACCAGAGCAAGAAACAAAAATGATTTACTAGTGTGCACCATGTCCCCAGGCAGTCACTGCTTTTGAGGATTATAAAACAAAAATTGAATGGCAGTTTTTCTGTAAATAACTCATATTAGTGAAAAAATTATACAAAAAAAAAATAATAATTAAGATTTAATTCACTTTTCAAACCACGCATTCAGTCTATTGAATATTTAAAAGTTTGGCTTTATGCCTCACAGACAAATGTCTAGCCAGTGTGTGGGGGAAAACAGGTATAACCACACAGTCTGAGAGTCACTTCAATGCTCTATTCATCCGTGGCAGACTTTCTTTGTCTGTCCCTTCAAAACATAAATAGAAAATATTTGCTAAATGATGTCATTCGAGTATTTTAGTACAGGTGGAAAAATGAACAATGTGGTTATTGTAGGACTCATGCCCCCCCTCCCCCCCATATCCCTCTCTCTCTCTCTCTCTCTCTCTCTCTCTCTCTCTCTCTCTCTCTGACAGTCTCTGTGTGTGTGTTGTCATCAGTAGTAAATTAATTCTACTTGCCATTACAGGTAGTGAAAGCCTTTGACCACTCAGAACAAGAGTATTGTGCAATCAAAATAATCAAGAACAAAAAGCCATTTCTCAACCAAGCACAGATAGAGGTACGATTGCTGGAACTAATGAACAAACATGATGCTGAGAGCAAGTATTATATAGGTGAGTGTGATTTTTGCCAGTCTTTCCAATTAATTTTAGTTTATCAGTTTTTGCTTTTCGCATTGTGTCCTTTTTTAGACCCCAAGATATAATCATTTTTGAATAAAACATACTAGATTAAAAACCAGTCTCATAAGGTAAATGCAGTTTTACAACTTAAATAAGATTATTTATTAGACAGGATTTCTGTTGACCAAAAATTTGCCAAAGTCTCATCGCCAGGCCAGATAGCGGAGATATCCCTTGCTGTCTGTGAAATCTGTAATCTGTTAGGGTTATGGTTCATTATTGGACTTTTTCTTACACTAAAACATCCTAGAACTGATCTCATGTTAAATTCGATTTTAATCAATTTTATGTTTTATTTTCTCTTCTCTTCCAGTCAAGCTCAAGAGGCATTTCATGTACAAGAACCACTTGTGTCTAGTGTTTGAGCTCTTATCGTACAACCTTTATGACTTGTTACGGAACACAAACTTTAGAGGCGTTTCATTAAATCTTACAAGGAAGTTCGCTCAACAATTGTGCACGGCACAGTTATTTTTAGCCACCCCTGAGCTCAATATTATTCACTGCGACCTTAAACCAGAGAACATTCTACTGTGCAATCCTAAGCGTAGTGCAATCAAGATAGTGGACTTTGGAAGCTCCTGTCAGCTTGGACAGAGGGTGAGTTATTTTATGTCAAGGCTTAATTTTATTTTTAATTTGGCTTCTTCTGATCGTAATTCACAGATTGAGATGTTTTTTCATGGATGATTATCACAACCACACTGGGCAAACCAACAGCAGATGTTATTTTTTCGTCATTTTGGATAAGAAAATATTTAGATGAATTGGCGTTCAATGTTTCATTGATGTCAGTTCTTAGGATATACTGATAGTCATCTCATTGTTTCTCTTCCCCTTAATTCAGATCTACCAATACATACAGAGTCGGTTCTACAGATCTCCAGAAGTTCTTCTAGGCATCCCATATGACCTTGCAATTGACATGTGGTCGTTAGGGTGCATTCTAGTGGAGATGCACACGGGAGAGCCTCTATTTGCAGGCTCCAATGAGGTAAGAAATGAGAAAGTTGCTCGAGAGGTAATTTTTGTATGTCCTATTCTGTTCTCCGTTTTTGTGTAAACCATCATATTGTGTACTCGTGGTGAACAACCTATGCATCAACAAACTAGCAAATCTGCCTTCAAATTTTTCTGATCGTGGCTTTGCTCTAGTTGTTGTCATTGAATATTGAATGCTGCTGTCAGAGTCTGCAGCAATTCTGATGGATGAAGTCAAATGTAGATTTGCCTTGCCTCAGCTAGCTTTATTTATTTGCAAACATACATAACTGATGGTAGATGGTTCATCAGGCCGAAGTGGGGTAGGTTTTAACACATTTGCTGGACTTTGTCTCTTAGGTCTAGAAAACGAAACAAATTTTGATGTACTAAACTAACTAAATTTGTATCTCCCCAGTATGACCAAATGATGAAGATTGTGGAAGTATTAGGCATGCCACCACCACATATATTGGATCAGGCTCCAAAGTCACGGAAATACTTTGAAAAATTGCCAGATGGAAACTACGTCTGTAAGAAATCCAAGGATGGAAAGAAGGTGAGAGGATAAATAAAGCAAAATAGTGTTGGACTATGGTTGTTCAAGGACTTATTTGGCTTCAAAAAATTTACTCTGATTTAATCACATAAATGCAATATGTTTGACAGTAGGATTACTTTTCCCCTCAGCATTATTTCATAGGAAAAAAACAACATTGTCTACAATGTGCAAAAGCTGAGCATTGTAAAAAGCCATAGAAATCATAAAAAAATTTTTCTTATGTCATGTGTACCCATTCACCCTAAATCTTAGCCAAGGCTTTTATATGTAAAAGAAAATATTGGTCATTCTTTCCTTCCACTAATGAATTAACACACATAACACATTAACATGGAGCTTGTTGAGTTGCTTTTCTGACTTAGCCATTTTCCTTTTAGTACAAATCTCCGGGTTCAAGAAAACTACATGACGTGATTGGAGCAGAAAATGGTGGACCTGGGGGACGCAGGGCAGGGGAGCAAGGTCACACGCTCTCTGACTACCTTAAGTTCAAAGACCTAATTCTGAGGATGCTGGACTTCGATGCCAAGACCCGGATCACACCCTACTACGCTTTACAGCACAACTTCTTTAAACGGACGACAGACGAGAGCACAAACACGTCCAACAGTACCTCGACCAGTCCTGCGATCGAACAGGTGGTGTCTAGCCCTAGAGGTGAGAATTGTCTCTTATAACCTTATAATGGTTAATAGTAAACAAATATTAGCACAAAATGAGGAGGGAAAAGTGGTGCAATTAGATTATGAATCTAGTAATGAAACTAGTCATGAATAACTTCAAGTGAAATATTAAGGTTATTCAATACATATATGTCAAACATGTCCTGAACCACCCATTCTGCGTTGTTTTCCAGCCACCCCTGGATCATCCAGCGGTCGTGCTCGCTCCGACCCCACCCACCAACACAACAGCCATCGGCACACCCACTCTCACTCCGTGCACCACAGTCACGGTGCCCAGTACATGACCAGTGCCAACCCTCCCAGTGGTGCCACCACCACTTCTGCAATGGACTGTGAGTCCCCCTCTGCTCAACAAGCCCGCTATTTGGCCCAGCAACAACAACAGCAAGTGATGTTCCAGCAACAACAACAGAAGATGTGGCCCGCAGGCGACCTGTCCGCCTCCTCTTCGTCATCATCGTCACGACATGGCGGAGGTGGCAGCAGCTCAGGCTCGCATGGCCACCATATGCATCATCATCCTGGCCACCAGGGTGCGCCACCACAGATGATGTCACAGGATTTACACCAGCAGCCCCGCGTGTCTTCCCCACTGATGAAAGTAGACTTTAACGCTATTAACTCCACTACGGAGTTGAATGCACTTGGCGGTGGTGGGCCGCAGCAGTTTATTGGATTAGACACAGCAGCCCAAGGGGGCACTACCGGTATGAACATGCAGATTCCTGCAGCGGGTTTCAATCCTGCATATAGCTATAACCATCAGACTCTGTTCTCAGGGCCAGGTTTCCCATTCACGCTAGCAACAACGTCGAGTACAGGGAACACAGAAGCTGTGCCCCATAATGCTCGGACTGTAGGTGGCAGTGGCGAGGACTCTCCCATGGTTGGAGTCTGTGTTCAACAATCCCCTGTGGCCAGCCATTAATGATTGTGAGGGAATTAGGTAATGTGCTATTTAACCCTGAAGCCGAGCAGCTTGAGAGAGAAAAGAAAAGGGAGGGAAGTTGCCGTTCTCCTTCGATTGTTTTGACAAAGAAAGGTTTTAAACTTTAGAAGCCTAGGATAGAGGTGTTTGACCATGCAGATAAGGGTTCCTGTGGTAGAGGGACTGAACTGACTGATGACAGATAAGTGTATCTCTGGTGCCCCCTCCTGGCTGTGAAGGTTAGTCACATAAGCTGTGAAGGAAAGAATATAGGCCTGCGTGCAAGAGTGTCCAAGCCTTAAGCTAGATACTTCCCTGCTCCTAAATAGACCCTGGTGCACACTGTGGTACTGAATCTGGATTGGGTTACAAAACAGAAAGAAAAAAGGACCCCTGATTGTTGCCTACGCAAAGATATTCAGCCACTGCCTGCAAGAGGACAATAAAACGTAGATGGCGTGGCTGGTCAAGACATGACTTACACAATTATTTGGACAATGTGAGATAACCGGTGGTGCCAGGGTTATGTGAATGCTACAATCTGTTGCACCAGAGGAAACAAGTGGACTCTTGTTCAAGATGGAAAGTAGAGCAAGGACCAGGCTACACAAGGGCTATCCAAGAGGCACGACTGAATGATGTGAAAGGAAGTTTGATTTCAATCATAAATGGTTGATGTTGCCACGTTCTGAAAGAACTTCACTTGAAAATATCTCTGCCAAGAGGCAACATTAAGAAAACTGCACATAAACAATTTGATGATTTTACAAGTCGTGGGGACATGCAAAAAGGAAATGGCAGATGACAGACATGGATATGATGTTTTCAAAGTCTAATTCGTCAAGCCAGAAAAGAAAATAAATTATGTGTGGGTCGAGCAAACATCCTCTGCATAGAAAAAGAGATGACTTGAATGGAAGCTAGTCAGTCTTCAGGAAATATTGAGACGATGCAATGTTCTAATTATCTGTACATAAATGTACATAAGTAATGCTTGAAGTAAGTATCCCCCCCATAGTGGCACCATGGTTGAAGTGGTAGAAAGTGACATGACATGAGGTTGAACATAAAGTGTTGTGCTACTTAGTGGAATATGAGGGGCGTTCCCCTCCTGTGAACTGTCTATCCCCCAGGTATAGTATCTTCCAGAATGGTGGATCGTTTGTCTTGCTGTACATGGTTGGAACAAAATGAATGAAAAGTTGGCAGAAGCCAGTAAAGTAATAATCTGAACTTGGCTAGATGATTTCATCATTATCATCATGGTGAGTTAGTTTGGGAAGATAGAATATGCTTGTGAGATTTTTCTTGATATTATTGTTCCTATTATTGTAAATGCAGTATTCTTTAAGAGGAAAACCTCTATTACCAAGACGAAGATGAGAGTGATTCTCCCCCCCCCCACCCCCCCCCCCCCTGCAATTTTAGAATTGGGAATTTTAGGTATGTGTTTGTACAGGCCCCCAGTCATGTGGGAGGTTCAAATCTGATTGTCACATATTCATGCTGTTTATTTATTGAAATAATTATACTACATTAAAATGTGGTAGAGGCAGGAATGATACAAAGTGTGAGTTCTAAGCAGTTTGGCAAATATCTTCAAAGATTGGTCACTGGCCTATTTGGTTTTATTTGTTTCCCATCAATTTCTTTAAAGGTAAAAAGGGATTGATAAGGTTTTCATTAGTTGCTTTCTTAATTCAAGACAATGTCTTGCAGGGATTTTACACAATTCTAAATACCAGCTTCCTTTTGACTTTTAACGACAAGTTACAGATGCTCATTGAGGCACTTTCATGTTTTAATAAGGAAAAAATGTACAAAGTTTTAATCTGGCTGTTCCATGATTAGTTGGATGTGTTGGGTGTGAACTCTGTGTTAAGTGTCTTAAGATTCTCAACCCAGTTGCGCTTAAGTGTGACTCATTGTGTCAAAGGTCACTTGGACCTTTGAGACAACCTGAATAAAAGACCCGACTACCTAGGAGAGTACTTTTGCATACAAGGAATTCATTCTTACCTGTTTTCTATGTATCTTGATATAGACTGCTAGGGCCTGGTAGAAAGATGCTATTTATGTAGTATTTTAGACTGTTCTTGTAGATTTAACTGTTTCACTGTAAAATTATTTTTATTTTAACATAAATGCAGAAAACTACAGTCACTATCCAAGCTGGATTGGGTTGAAAGATAAACTTTTGAGTCTTCAGCCAAGTATACTTTTAGAGGGTTTATATGGGTGGTATATTCTGAAACTTGAATAGTTCCAAGTGGAAAAAAAAGGCAAAATTATTTGGGAAATATCTATCCGAAAATTCTCTCCAAATGTGATAGAGAAGATTTACTCTCTTATTCCTTAATCTCAACATCATGAAAAGGAAACCGGCCAGCTCTGATTATTCTGTGCTGTTTGTTTTCTAGCAATTTTTAAACCTGAAATTTTTATTAGGAAGATTTCAATTTTATATGCATGAACTTGGATTTTCATTTTAATCGACTACAAAAGTACAATGATTATTATTGCCTGTAATAATTTTAATGGTTTTAATTAAAACTGTTAGTGATAACTATTATGTCAAACAGGTCATTTGCAACAGCTTAAAAATCCAAATTTATAGCAACCTATTATAAACAATTTAGATGCATTTTCATTTAAAAAAATATATTGCACTTTTACCAAAACAGATGTAGAAAATTTGCACTTTTTAAAAAGAAACATTGCACCGCCTGAACTTAAATATTATCATTTTAATGGAGGTTAATACAGATTATTTGCAATCTTTTAAGAATATATGGTAAAAGCATCCTTACTTTGTTTAATAACATGCTTCAGTTCTGTTTACACTATTAGACTTTGCCAGGTCATGATAGATAAGTCAGCATTGCAAGTGTTTGAAGGACATGTATAAGATAGCTAGTAATTTCAATGTTAATGTAGAAAGTATATACCAAAAAGGAAGCCAGAAATGTATTATTTGGAAAGGGTCATACAGTGCAAATTAATTCTATGATCTCTTTGGGTTTGATGCAATTAACGTCATAGCGGGTACTGTTCAGTCTGAAATGTAGGATATCTTACCAACTCTTTATCCCTTTGACTTCATCATAATGTATTGTATATATTCTGAATCGTTTGAAAGAAAAGAAGCAGAGTTGTGCATATTCAGGTTGTTTTAGTGCAATAATCAGGATCTCTGACAGTAGGTCATGTTGACCCAGTTTTTGATGTTCCTGACTTCATTTTCCTTTGTACTTTCATGAAGTTAATATCTTTATTTAAAGTGTAACTGGATGGGTAAAAACAAAAGGAAGTAAGGAATCTCGGCAGGTTTAGAAAAATTTATATTATCGTTGGCCTGGCAAAGTCAGTATAGTACTGATGCATCTTTTTTTTTTTCGTCTACATTTTGGAGAATTTAATTCTGGTTTTGATGATCCAATTTCAAACTATGTACATTACAAGAAATGAACATTACATTATTGGAAACCGGTTTTGTATAAAACATGGAACGTGTCTCAGTATTGTGAATCTGCTCACGCTATATTAATTGTAGATATGTAAATGCTTGCCTCTGCCTTGTGTATTATTAGTTAATCATGAAAAATATGGAGGGTGGCTTCTGTTGGAGACAATAAAATTACCAACATGTATTAGCCAAGCTCACTTGTTTGTTGTATTGTTTGCATTTTTCATTTTTTTTTCTACTACTAGTTTTATTCTGAGACTTCCTTGGCCTGTAGTGCCCCCCCCCTCCCCCATCCCCAAATTCCAGTCCAATGCCTTGCAACCATATTTCAAATAAATCTAAAGAACAGACTTATCAACTGTTACTTATATGGAACTCGTACAGCATGCCCACAAACTTGAGTGTATGTATAACAAAGATGAAAGGAATAAAAGTGCGCAGAAAAAATCCAGTGACAGTGGTTGATATCAGCATAAAAAGAAAACCAATTCAACAAGTCAGCAGCGTGGTAACGGTATACCTGGGTTACATGACAACAACAGACAATTGAAAAGGTGACAGAAATAAAGAGAAAAATAGAAATTGCAAGATCATTTGAAAGCCAAGCTAAAGTTATAAATATAAGACAAATTGATTGAACATCAATCTAAATAAAAACTTGAAATGTTTGAAACGGATAGATAGAAGGATGCTAAAATATCATATCATGGACTAAACACTAAAATAATGAGAAATTGCTAAAATATCTAAACAACAGTATCATTTTTGAACACCATTAAAGGGAATTAAGAAAATTAAAGGGATAACAAATGTTCATATGAGGTTTTTATTTTACAATAAAAACATTGAAAACAACTATAATAGAAATAAAATAAATTCCATGTTACCACCAAAACAGCGGTTTTCTCAATTACTGTGGAATCTGCGCTTGCCACCAGACCTTCAATCATGGATTACAGGCTTTTTTAGAAAGAAAGAAAAAAAAACTATGAATGTTGAGATTGATTTATTAACCATTGCTAAGCATGGGGGAATCGTCCCAGGAATTTTTTTAACAAAAACGAACGCTTTTATCCCTTTAATTTATTTTAGTCACACCATAAAAATAATTTGCAGCGGTTGCTATTGGAAGCAAAGTTAAATGGGGAAGGAAGGCCAAGAACAACGTGGATAGACAAAATGAAAGAATGGAACAATCAAAATATAATGAAAGTAAACGAATGGCACAAGTCCTAACGAGATGGCACCCAATGACAATGATGAAGATGAGCCTACTGCATAGGTCCAAACTTGTTTTAACGTAGTGCAGTGCCGAAAGATTACATGGAATAAATCCTTAACGTTCCGTTTCACAAAATAATCAGCTGCGATCAATGTGTCGTAATAATAATCATTACGTACACAGAGAGAAAGTTTCAATTTACTCTCTATGCCCAGAGGTCGGCAGCCATTGCTGACACAAGCCCAGTGTGTTAGGTGTGACGCCTGGCAGCCGCTCACTGTGTTTTGACGCAATCGAAAACACTGCCTGTCCATGTGGAAGGTGGCAATCCCTGAATGTCTATACTCGCCCATCTAATCCATTTATTAATCGTCATAAAATAAATCTAAAATACTATCATTCTTTACAGCTTTTTTTCACTAACAAAGTAGGCTTATATTTTTAGGACAATAGAATATGCTTCTTGTATTGTAACTGAGCCTGAGCAGCAGATACAAGGAATTGACGAAATAGCATATAAAGACAAATAAAGAGAAAAAGGAAATGTAAGAAAAAAATTTTTTTTTTAATTACAAAATAATTTGTTCCCCTTTGTTTTATAAATTAGATCTAACTGACAAACAACAAAGGCGAGAAGATGTTTCCGATGGCGGCCGCTCATCCCGACTGTAACGCTGCCTTACAGCGCATTCAGAACAAATAAACACCATAATGATATGTTTTGTTATTATTTTCCTTATGTAATAGATAACACAAGAGGAAAAGAGAGACGTGTAACATTTGACAAAATTAACTAATTCTGGGTGGCAATGAAAAGAAATTGATATTAAAACCGTAAAAGGAGTTTTGATACTGAGAAATAACGCAATTATTCACTTACCTCGGTCCCTTTGCTATGTGTATTCACAGAGTCCACTTCTTCTGGGTCGCTGTTGACTGTATACAAAATATTTATAAATCAGTAAATAGCAAAGTTTCTTCTGTAATTCCTATATTCGTGTATATCCCAGAGACAAACAAGATCGGGCGACTGCTTGAAACAAATATTTAGGTCCATCTGAACAAAAATCCTAAGAACTTCAGTAAATTAATTGACGTTTTGGTCGCTACCAAATCCAGACAAGAAAAATTCTGTGGAATGGTAGACTGCTTCGCATGACTCAGAAATGAATGAAGCAATATAACCTTTCAAGTTACTCTCTCATCAAATAATGAGTCACGGCTACTTCTGGAGTACGTTGATATAAAATCCCCTATTTTTCGTCTGCTGTATCTTCATTATCGTTATTTTTTACACGTCATATAGTTTCATAACTGCAAATACTTCAAATATGAAACACTTGATTGTTTTTGTAATAAATGCAAGCGTTGATAAATTCACTGTTGTTCAAACCGGGTTTACCCGCAAAACGGATTTTCATTGGAAAATTTTTTCCTACTCAAGAATCAATGCTGGTCCCATCTTTGCACTTGGATTCGATGCTTTATTCAATTTCAATTTTAAATTAATAATAGTTCTAAATGAATGGTCATTCATGCCTGGCCATGTCTTCCTGCATGCACAATTCAAAAGGCTCAATAGTCGTCAGGTACTCTAATTCATGGGGTTTGAACATTTTAAAGGTATAATTTGGGAAAGATATGTAGCTTTGCTTGATACGTTGATATAAAAAAAACAAGAAATAACGCTGACGTGTGAACATTTTCAAAAACAACCACGTAC